CTTGTTAGCCTCTTTATCTTGCGAGCTGAAGAGTTTAGTTTGTTGCTGACTTTTGCCGTGACTGCCTTGAGTTTTACTCATTTCAACAACGAAAAAGTTACTGAGGCACTCCTAATGACTTGTCAAGTAAGAAAAGTAACAGACGTCTGGGTGTATATGTTTAAAAGCGAAAAAGGATTAGGGAGCAAACGCCAATGCGACCGATCACTCCAACGCCATAACCGGAACCTCCTACAATTTTTTTATTTTAAAATAAATTCAGATTGAACATAGTAAAAAAAAAAGTCAATGATAGTGTCCGTCCCAAAAAAAACATTACTTATAGTGAAAACCACCCTTGAATAATGGGATCGGAGACTGAAAGCTTTAGGAATCCTGTATCAAGATTGATGCAAAATAAGTGACATTTGACTTTTTTAGAGAGGTTTAGCAAAAATAAAACACTTCTGGGGTCATTTGGGTGGATTTGCCCTACTGTATCTCTGGCCCCCCTCGGTCGATTTTGATGATTGACATCTCTTTTTAACCGTTAGAACCAATAGAATCGAGGGGAAGTTCCTAAAATCTATTTAAACATTACCCATTGGTGAATGAGTGATGCGTAGCCAGAATGCCCAAAACAGGAAGCTGTCATACACTCTAGTAATCATTTCAAAGTGACACAGACACATTGGATTAACCTTCAGCCGCGTTTTTCTCGTTTTAATGCTATTGAACACAACTTTTGATCAGAAACAAAGCAAAAGGTAAGACAAATTGGCCGTGTTTGCTCCGTAAAGCTACATGGTGTGTTGTCTGGGTTTGCTTCCCCTGTCGCGAGTTCTGATCGCTCAGTGATGATACTTATAGTTCTGGAATCTGTGGTATCTCAGCTTGCTAATCAATATCTTGTTTGTGCAGATCCGTTAAGTAATAAGGGTATTTTACCGTGAGTTCTGTGCTAAGTGCGTTAGCATTTTTTCGCTCAGGGCTAATTCAGAGCCTTTGTTATTACCCTTATGTTTCGTTTTGCTAAAAATTGTTAATATTGTCTGATAGCTGAGTTTCTTCCCGTTAAGTGGGTATGACACATTCATAGTTTGTTAAATGCTCTCAGACGCTGTTTCTTGCAAGATGTTGCGTTTTGCCCCCGGTACCGGGGGCATGTGGCTTAACTGGATAAGAGAGTAAGCCTGCAGAGGTTAATTAAAACCGTGCACAGGGTTGGGTTAGGGTTAACAGGTTGGCCTTGCCCTTGTAACTGCACAACATACTTTGAGGGCAAGGCATACAGCACCTTTCAACACAAGGCAATTCGAAGTGCTTTACAAAAATGAAAGACATTAAGAGCATTAAGAAAAACTGCAGCAGAAACATATTATAAAATGGCATTTAAAAAAACACATTTAAAAGCAAAGATAATAAAACATGAATAACACAGGTACATGAATAAAAGTTACAGTGCAGTGTGAGCGATGTATCTCATGGGTGCAGAGTTTCAGATGTTTGTTCAATTTGGCAGTTACTATTGAATATAAATCTAATCCTATCTGATATTACATAATTTGATATATTAAGAAAATAAGGGAATCTTTTTTCCTGAATTTTTTTATGGACCTTTAATGAAAATACTTAGGTACAAATATGTAAAAAAAGAAAGTACTTATACTTGAGTTAATGTTACTTTCCACCATTGAAAACATGTGAACATGAAAATACATATATGTTTTTTGGTCTGTCAAACTGCATAAGAGCTCACTGCGTTAGTGTACGTTTAACTAACTGTAGTCATTCTGCATTCCTAAAACTCATCAAACAACATGATCATTAATATTAAAAATTGTTCTGACTGGAAGAAAAAAAAACTGAAAGGAAACAAGTTAACGAAATACATCACAATTTAAACTGGGTGAACATGTTTCCGCACCCATGCTAATTTCTTCCAATGTGTCTCACAATGTGAAACCTTTAATCCAGTGTTTCATTCATCATAGGTGTGGTGATGGGATGGCAGATGAAAGCGTTTTTCTCTCTCCGTCTCTCTCTCATGTTTTTGTGTTACACCTGTTTTGTACTTCAGTAATGAACGAGATCATACCGTACAGGAGGAAGGAATGCCGTACTCATATCTGACTTTTTTTCTCCTCCATGTGACAGTTTGACTTTCTCTGTGCTCAGAACAGGAGAAAACCGTTGAACAGGCCATGCCTTTGATCAATAATCTGACTATGCGGCTCAAAGTGCTTCATCATTGCAGACACATCTAGACTAGTGCAAACGCGCCACAACTAACCATACTATTTCCATTGGCAATAATAACGAAAGGAATGTGTTGGGAAAATACAGAATGTACTCTTCTAATATCAAACCTGTGTTGTACTTCAGTAATGAACAAGATCATACTGTACAGGAGGAACTATTTGTCTCATGCAGCCCTGTGTGTGATGACTACTTCCATTCTTGCAAGGATAATGAATACATGTATCCTGATATTGAAGACCAAGCCGGTGACGAGAGATATTTTTCCCAACATAATGCAATCACATTGTTTAAATAAACAGATAAAACGTACATTTCGTGTCACCTTTTGACAACAGTTGGCCAACTGTATAATCCTCGAACGTCAACAAGTGCTCCGGTCCCAGCTGTGTGTGTCACTTTTTAGTGTCCCCTGGTTTCTGTTGTGTTTGAGCTTCTTGCAGCGTTTTGTTTATGCAGTGCTTTTACTAAACGCTGTGCATGTTTTGTCAAGTTGGTGAAGATGTGTTCTTTATTTGTGTTTTTATATTGTCATCGTTCTTGAAACCGCTTCTTTGGCTACACAATGAAGTTAATGCACATTTGGTTGATTAGAGCTTTCTGCTGCATCTGATAAAATACGTTGTTAAGAGAAGTGAGACTCAAAAGGTTACAGGTCCCATGTTTTGGCCATTTCTACTGATATTGTCCTATAGCTGTGTGCCAATAGGCCCCGGAAGAAAAAAATTGAAAAAGAGAAATCTCCAATGAGGCGTTCTGGGTAGGGATGCTCCGATCGCCAATTTTGGGGCCGATCGCCGATCGCCGGAATCAGTATCGGCCGATACCGATCGCCGATCCGATCGAGTGGGCGGGGCCTAAATGGAAGATTTAAACATCACTTTAAATCTTCCATTTAAAGTGATGTTTAAAACTCAGTTAATGGGGCTCATTCACTGGAGCTTCCACAAACAACAATCAACTTAATTATTACATTCAAATTATGTATATTATTCAAGTTTACATTCACTTTGGATAATACCACGGGAGAAATGAGCGGAAGCGCTCTCTCCCTCTCTCTCTCCCCCTCTCTCTCCCCCTCTCTCTCCCCCTCTCTCCCCCCTCTCTCCCCCTCTCTCTCCCCCTCTCTCCCTCTCCTGACAGCCCGTCAGTATCGTCTCATGCAGCTCGCTGATCCAGTAATGTGTGAGGCCGACAGTGAAGAATAAACATATTTATAACTAGTTTAGCTTGTTCCAGAGGTAGATAAAATAGCTAAGTGTGTTCGGTCTAACTCTTGTGTGTTTTGCTCCGCTCACCGGTCCGTCACAGCGGGTGGAGCTGCAGGATTTCTGCTTCACACACGTTGCATACCGCTATTTTACTGTCTTTTTCGGACACCTTAAAATAATGCCAGACCGGTGAAGCCATTTTGGCGAGCTTGTTTTGCCGCGTACAGAGAAAAGTGTCATGTATTTTACGTCATGCGATCGGCCCTCGCGATCGGCATGTTTAGAGAGCACCGATCGATCGGTAGAGAGTGAGTTTCGGCAGATCTCGATCGGTGACCGATCGATCGGAGCATCCCTAGTTCTGGGGCAGCATAGACACGTCTTTTCTGTGTTAGAGTTTTACTCGCTACAGGGTGTACTTTGAGGGTTTGTGACTTTGCAAACCGTTTACATGCAGAAAAAGCTACATAACACACAAGGGGACGGGTAATAACCAGAAAAGCATGAGACCTTTAAGTAAAACCAAAACAATGAGCGGGAAATGTTCTGTAGAGCTGAGGGGAACTGCAAACTCTGGTAACTATTTGCTGTGGTTTCATTGTGTGAACAAAAGGGCTGCACGATATATCGTGTCGTGACGATAATCGCGAAATGGGCATGTGCGATATTCACATCGCAGGAAGTGCAATTTAAAAAAAACTACTATTTAAATTTTTTTTTTTTTTAATATTTAAAAAAAAAAAAAATGTAGGACGTGCGATATTAAGTAGGCAAATTAACTCAAACACGTCATGTTACAATTATTTTGCTGCTTGCTACAAAAGGAAAACTCATGTCAGGGTTACTTGAGTAAGTGACATGCAGGCTCTGCATGCACAGCAAACCACCAATCACAATCAAATCTCCAAAGAAAACACTGAATAAAGTAGTTTCATGTGTTTCTCCAGGGCAGTTCGGCGCTGCTAACCGAGCTAGCTCAGCTTGTTGCTCTGATAACTTAAGATCCAGACGTCCGTGACAAAAATCCTTCATCCGGTTAAATATAGTTCAAAAAATACCAATTGTATAGCATTAAAGTTCAAGAAAGGATGGTTTGCGGACAAAAAAAACTGCCTTTTCTTCAATTCCTGTATTTTTTCATATCGCAATATATATCACAGGGGAAGAAAATATCGCAATGTCAGTTTTTTTTTCCAATATCGTGCAGCCCTACAATACAATTCACATTACAGTCATTTGAACCACTTTGTAGGAGCCACAATGCTGTGGTAGCCTGTGTTTATAGTTATATTATCTTCATTATTTGTTAACACCACACACACTTGTAATGTGTTGTTTCCGGTAATTGTCACATGGGTGTACAGAAGTATTAAACGGTGCAGCTTTAATGTTAGTCATTTGTTTTTAAGAGTTGTGTGATATAGCAGTTTCTAATTTCATTGCATTGTTTTTCTAGTTCTAAATTCATTCAATCATTTTAAATGTATGTGCTTGTTTTGATAGTGTTGTTCTGTTTGTAATAAGTATTTTATTATGTGTGCTTTCCTTCAGGTCTGTCAACATGAAAGTCTACATTAAGGCTTCAGGACCTGCCTTTGTCAGCGTGGTTCCAAAAAAAGAAGGTAAAGTTTGATTTTCACCTCTGCAATAGGTCGCACTGAGATCGCACCCCGCTCCAAAAGAAGAATCTATGAAAATGCAATCTGTGATCTTGTTGCAGCAAAGTCTGTGCTGTTAACCGAGCCAAAGTTACCAGAAATGGTTTTTTTTCAATGATTGAATTTTATAAAAATGCAACAAAGTTACTAAAACGAATACCAACAAATATTCAGAAATAAAATAAAAACTAAGTTTGGCTCCATTAATAATGTTTTTAATACCTCAAACTGCATTTAGGTTCATACTAGGTTCGAACTACACTAAAATGGTCTGGTTTCAGACAGAGGGTGAAAAGAGGTGCTGCACCACAGGCAGTATGAGAAAAATAAAGAGCTTTTTGAACATTAAAGCCTGGAGACATGTCACAGTAGACTAGAGGCACTACATACCAGAGGTGTGGACTCGAGTCACATGACTTGGACTCGATTCAGACTCGAGTCACCAATTTGATGACTTTGGACTCGACTTGACAAAATCACAAAACACTTGCGACTCGACTTGGACTTGAACACCAATGACTCGGGACTTGACTTGGACTTGAGCCTTCTGACTTGAGGTGACTTGATAATTTAATTCAGAGGTCTCCAACACGCCGATCGCGAGATGCCGCTAGAAGAGCAGACTCCCGTCGGGGAGAGCAGAATCTCCAGCCGCTGCAACTCTTGCTGAGAATCCTTGCAGGCAGGGGCGGGTCTTTATTTAGCTGGGCCACCATGCGGCCAATCATATGTGAGGACACACTAGGATCATACCATTATGTGAAAGAAGGGTGGGGGGCAGACGCTCCAAAGACAGCAGGTGTAGTGGTACAGGCCAGATACACAGAGCCACGGGGAGACGGGGAGACGGATTTAAATGCAAGCGCGTCGGAAAAAGTCAAGAAATTAGCGAAAACCGAAAAAAGAAGCAGCTTCTGGCTGCATTTCAATGATATTGGAGAAAGCAAAGCTGAGTGCAGGATTTGTCAAATGAAAATAACCTTCAGAGCAGGGTTTTGTTTTGGTAACCACTCAGGATTTATTGTCAGAGGTGGGAGAAGTTCAGATCTTGTACTTGAGTAAAAGTACCAGAGTGTAGGAATACTCGGTTACAATAAAAAGTCCTGCATTCAAAATGTTACAAGTAAAAGTAGAAAAGTATTATCATCAAAATACAGTTAAAGTACCACCTGCAGAGGGATCTAGATTCAGGTGTTCTTTTCCCAGGGTGCGTACGGGTGCTGGAAATCCTTGAAAATGCTTGAAATTGTACGAGGTGTTTTCAAGGTTTGAAAAGTGCTTGAATTTTGGGAATGGTGCTTGAATTTGGGATAAAGTGCTTGAAATTGTAAATGCTTTACTTCGCTTTTTAGATTAAAAGAAAATAAAGAAGTCGGAGCGCGCTTAATTGCTTCGCTTTTACATAAAACAGCTCCGCTCCGGCCTTCCCGCGCAATGCGCGTGACCGGCAAGTGTTTTTGTTACGTGTGTGACCTGGGCATTCTGATGAGAGTGATTGATGACAGTATGCCAGGAGGTTGCCGTTTCAACGAGCGTTGGCTAGCAGAAGACAAATACAAGCCATGGCTAAGACGAGGGTCAAGCGAAGCCCAAGAGTAGCCTCCTGCAAAGTGTGCAACAATAACGATGCGAGAGTCTGCGCTGACGAGCCACACACCACACGAAAGGTACGCCATCGTAGAGCATTTTAGATTAGGCTATCGTTGCATGTAAAATACATGACACTTTTCTCTGTGCGCGGCAAAACAAGCTCGCCAAAATGGCTTCACTAGTCTGGCAGTATTTTAAGTGTCCGAAAATGACAATAAAATAGCGGTATGCAACGTGTGTGTGAAGCAGAAATCCTGCAGCTCCACCCGCTGTGACGGACCGGTGAGCGGAGCAGAACACACATTAAGAGTTAGACCTAACACACTTGGCTATTTTATCTACCTCTGGAACAAGCTAAACTAGTTATAAATATGTTTATTCTTCACTGTCGGGTCGCTCATTACTGGATCAGTGAGCTGCAGGAGATACTGACGGGCTGTCAGGAGAGAGAGAGAGGGGGAGAGAGGAAAAGAGAGCGATATCGGTATCGGCCGATACTGATTCCGGCGATCGGCTCCAACATTGGCGATCGGAGCATCCCTAATAATTGTATATGATATGTTTTATAATGATTGATCATTAAAGTGTATCAAAGCTGGTAAAGTTGCAGCTAGTTTGAATGGCTTTGTATACTACAGAGTAGCTTGTGAATTTACTCCAGGTGGAACTAAAGTCTGATTTAACACTTGATTATATTTCCCATCATTCATCCACATCTGTAAAGTAACTAAAGGTATTAAATACATGTAGTGGAGTCAAAGTACACCATTTACCTCTGACTTGTGTTTACTGCCAACCTAAAAGTACCTCTAAAATAGTAATCAATAATATATTGAAAAGTTATTTGGCTGATTGTTTTATATTGGCTCAGCCAGGTTATATGGGATGCCCAGTCTACGTACAGATGGGTCACACATTTTGAAATATTAAACTTAGTTTTCTTTTCTAACATTTTTAATTTTTCATCCTCATGTAGAATGCTATTATGAAACACACATTTGGTTGTTTATAGCATAAAGAACATCTGATTTAATGTGAGGTAGGGAAATAATCATTTGAGTATAAGTATGTGTATATAAATATGTAATTTACAACAGCTGTAAGATGCTTGAAAAGCTTGAAAATGCACCTTGAAAATGCTTTAAAAGTGCTTGAATTTGACTGTGGAAAAGGTGTAAGAACCCTGTTTTCCCCATAGAGACGCCTCGCTGCACATTATCCCTTGCATAAAGATAGGTTGTGGGTCCCTTATAACATGCTGTACACAGTGGAAATAAACATTCTGGTTACCTCAACATTGATCTTATCAATTAAACTCCTTCTGAATCAAACCGTCACGGTAGCATTACCTTACTGATCCCTCTTACAATAGAAGAAAACACGTTACTTTACCAGCAGAGAGAAAATAGATTATTACAGTATTAATGTGACTAATAAAGAGCAGTTTAATTATTAAGTATTATTCTGTTGATGGGTGTCATTACATTTGGTGAAAAGCACATAATGACTTGTTTAAGACTCGTTTTGTCAAAGTAAAGGACTTGGACTTGACTTGAGACTTGACTCGGACTTGAGCACAAAGACTTGAGACTTGACTCGGACTTGAGCGCAAAGACTTGAGACTTGACTCGGACTTGCAAAACAATGACTTGGTCCCACCTCTGCTACATACTGATATGAACCTGAAAATGAGCAGAATATGTTCCTCTAATAAAACCGTTTTCCTTTAACTTCCTCTCAGATCAACCAGAGGCGAAGAGCCTCATCTTGATACCCGGACCCAGCGGCCATTACTACAAGGGTGTGTGGAAGGCACAAGGGAGCCCCACAGTTCGCCAGTTTGACGACCCTGCCATCAGAGAGTGTCTGAAGGCCAAGAAACTCCACCTTTACGGAGACTCCACCATCAGGCAGTGGTTCGAATTCTTCAGCCAGAAAATACCAGGTAGTTAGTGATCCACATGAAGTCCTGGCAACAGTTAATAATAATAAAGCTTTATTTATATAGCACTTTTCATGCAACACATGCAGCTCAAAGTGCTTTACAAAATGACACTTCACAAGTTAAAAACAAACAAGAACTTTAAAAGGTACATTTATATATATATATATCCTTTATTTAACCAGGTAAAAAGACTCATTGAGATTAAAATCTCTTTTCCAAGAGTGACCTGGCCAAGAAGGGCATGCAGCAAAATATAACATTTGATCAGGTTAAGAGACACAAGGAGGTAAAATGTATGATAATAAAAATTAAATTCTCTCTGACAGATAAGACACAAAACAACTGAGTCGATGCAACAATATAAAATATAAAACCCCATAAAACAAAGTGAACAACAGAAATAAAAATAAAAAATAAAAATAAAAAAAATATAACAATATAAAGGTGGGTAAATAATAAAGACTAAAAGAACATTTAAAGTGGGGAGTTGCTAATAAAAAGCTAATCTAAAAAGATGTGTCTTGAATTATTCACATATCTTTTCTGTCTGTGTACTTTTAGGTCAGTTCAACCTTCACGTGGATGTGAAAGTTGGCCCCCTGATGGCCGTGGACCATGCGGACAACATCCTGATGACGTACCGCTGCCACGCCCCCCCTCTCAGCTTCACCACGGTCCCGGTCAGCGAGCTGCGCTACATCGCCAACGAACTCGATGGCTTGATTGGAGGCGCAGACACTGTTGTGGTTATTGGCGTCTGGGCACACTTCGGCTCGTTACCAATAGAGCTTTACATCCGGAGGCTGCTGAGCATCCGCAGTGCGGTGCAGCGGCTGCTGGACCGCGCTCCGGACACCGTGGTCATCATGCGGAGCGGACACCCCAGAGATATGACCCTTTATATATCGCAATCATACAGCGACTGGTACTCCATGCAGATTGATCGTGTGCTCAGATCCGTGTTCAAAGGAGTGAATGTTCACTGGGTCGATGCCTGGGAGATGGTTGTTGCCAATGACTTGGGTCACAACATCCACCCGCTAACTCCCATTATTAAGAATATGATGGACGTTCTGTTGACCCACGTATGCCCCATAAAGGGTTGATCGATTTCTGTTCATTTATACAAATTAGGAAAATTAGGACTACTCTAATTCAATCAGTGGGTTAAACACATGAAACCTCAGTAATAATCTGATACATTTCATTTATATAGCACACTTTAAAAACAACGTCATCTCAAGGTGCTTCACAATGCTATAAGGAGAAATTAATAAAACAAATACGATCAAAAGTTATAGTAATAAAAATGTTTAAATCATCAATGAATAAACGTCTGTCACTTTTAATATTCTCCCAACATCACATCCATTTAAATGTTTCGGGCTAACCTTGCAAAATTGCCAAGTGGGAACATGTCACATGACTATGAGCTCATAGGATATTTATTGAACTGGTGAATACTTCATTTGTAAGTAAGACATGGATATATATATTTATGACGATATACCTCGTCGGTTTGAATGCTTCTCATGTTGGTCGCATTCACACCAGCCTTGTATAGTCCGGTTGAATCGAACCCTGGTGCGTTTAGCCGCTTGGTGCGGTTCGTTTGGGTTGGTGTGCAGTGGCGGAGCTGGGGGGTGGCTGGGGGTGGCCATGGCCACCCCCAGCTTAATCCTGGCCACCCTATTGGCCACCCCAAACACCCTCACCACAGGGGCCCAAACAATTTTAGAACATTAAGAAAAAAATGTTTAAGTAACCTTTCATCAATCATCAATAATTAACATTAATATAACGTTATATTGATAATGTACTCACTAAACTTACAATTAATTTAACTAATTTTCTTCCAAAAGTGAATTATCCAAAGCCTCTGTACACCCCCTTCTATTTACATGTAATGGTTTGGTCCCGCCTCCGCCTCCAAACGGCACTTTCTAGCAGAGAGTGAGAGCATGTGAGCAGGGATGCTAGTACTTACGTGTGTACGATGTCTCAATGACTCACAAAGTCAGGCTTTCAAAAAGCAAAGAAAGGAGAGAAAGAAAAGAGAGATGGACTAAAGGGCGACAGTATGTCACCCAGTTTTTCAAGAGAAAAGGTGGGTGTGGTCCATGAGTGGTGGAAATGAGTCTGTTAGCTAAGCGTAGTCCATTGTAAATAATACTTTTTATGTTGTTTTTTTTACTAAGCTGACATTAAGTACTGTTAATATCTATATAGAAAATGCAGAGGTTTTTAATTTCACTGCTCTTTTAGACATTTAACAAATGCAGGTAGATTTTTAGCAGCTATTCATACTAAATCAGTTGTCCCTCCCCCTGGTGCCAGGACCAACAGATCCATCTTTAGGCTCAGCAGCCCTGTCCCCCCATAATGCTGAACCTGAACCAGCTTTTCTCCCAACTGAAGGAGGTGAGCAGCATTGTGTTGAATTACATGCCACTTAACATATCTGAAGGGAGACTGGAATACAATATATATATATATATATATATATATATATATATATATATATATATATATATATATATATATATATATATATATATATATATATATATATATATATATATATATATATATATATCAAAACAAAAAGCTAACATCTCATTTCAATTATACATTTCAAACACAGTATTTTCCCACATATTTAAGTTATATTTATTTGGATTGATTCGTGTTGAGAATGTTCCATTCAAAAATGTTATTATTAAAAAGCCATTTACACTATAAAAGATGACTATTGAGATCTATTGTCAGGAATGTTAGTCTTATATGTATGGCCAGAGGGCAGGACCTATAAACACATTTACCCAATAGCATTGTGAGGCTGAACAAAAGGACCTTTTGACTATGTAAATGTAGTCTTTTAAAAAAACAAAAACATTTACTGACTTTTTTGGATAGCTTAAAGTAATGTTGTAAAATGACAACCGGGGGCCGTACAGGGTTAAGGGCTATTGTTTATTGTTATTTACTTTAAGATGTTTATTCTTAACCAATAATTTAATTTAAAAACTCTTATTTAAATGATGTGTGTGTGTCTCTGTATTCCTGATGATACACTGAGAGAATGAGCTCATAGGGCTGCTGTTCACCATAAGCTAAACAGTCTGTATATTGCACTACATTTGTATAATGTAAGCTTCGTTGATACTTTGCCTGTGGGAATACGAAAAAAATAGTTAGATATACTGGCTATTATTTGATCTATTCCACCACTATAGCTTAATCCCAAATCATGTAGAGGTGTGTTGTAGGTGCCTTAAATAACCCCTTATTTTATAGTGAGATGTATTTCTATGTTCATATAATAGTTATTTCAATGCCACCCCAAAATAATCACTGGTTCCATCCTGGCCACCCCACTGAAAATGTCCTGGCTCCGCCACTGTTGGTGTGAACGCAGTCCGAGACCTCTGAAGTGAACTAAACAACCGGACTCTGGTCCGCTAAAAAGAGGTGGTCTCGGACCGCTTGCTATCACTAATTCGGCTGACTTTTATATTTGATCCAATTGGTAGATAGGCTGTATGTACGCCATAACGTTGCACATCCAAATGAGGTGGTGAATAGGGTTACAAAGGCACTGCTCAGAAAGAAGCAGGGGGATTACAATGTGACTAAAAAACTAAGCGCATATTTAGTTTGTTGTAAAAGGATCAGATTCTATTTATTCTCTGTAAACTTTAGAGCTTATACTATAAGTGGGAATACGCAGACTGCCTGAATCTGCTTCATGGTTTTCACTTTCTTTGGTTCATTTGTTCTTTTTTTTATTCCACAGTTGAACCTATGTTCATAAAATAGTATGTGTGAGCTTGACTGTGTGTTAAAAAAAACAAAAAAACTGAGCATTTCCTCTCAACTCAGATTTTATTTCTGCTTTTTTTAAACATGTGTTTCATTGTTGGTGTATAGGCTACTGCCTGAATATGCTTAATGAAAGTCAGGTTTTCCTATCAATAAAATATCTTGGTTTTTCGACGCTCGCGAAACAGAGGGCTTCATCATATAACTTTGAGTGGGGCCTCATGTTGGCCAGGGACGGACATGATGCTCCCAGGCTCAACATAATCTTTGTTATAATATGGATAAGAAACACTTCCTGGAATAATGGACAGACGCCCTGGACCCAGTGTTGCTTTCATCTGACTCCGCTGCTACTTTACCGGCAAAAACAAATAAAGTAATACAACGGGAAACTAACTATACATTTAAACCGACCCTCAGGAACCTGACACCGAATATTAAACAGTGGAAAACCCCGAAGTCCAGGCAGGAAGTTTGAGCGACATCAACGATGGAAGAGGTAAGAGGAGGCGGATGCAAGTTGAAGGCGTAACCTGTTATACACCAGGGTGCTTTTCTGTAAAGATGTGTTTGTATCTGTATTTCTAGCGTTTCTTTTAAAAGGAGCATATGTAAATGTCTTCTTTGTAAGCTTTACTGCAGTAGCAACTTAGTACATTTTATTCTAGTTGCCAGCATTTTGAACCCGGAAATAGGATCAACAATTGCAGTTTAGCCCAGATAACGGCAATATCTCTCCTTCGGGCTGATTTTGATACATTTTGGGTCGAGATTTTGAAGATTTAGGGTACTCTGGATCATTGGACAGATTTATTCGAATAGTAATCGTAGTAATAATAATATTACATTGCATTTATATAGCGCTTTTCCTGGTGCTCAAAGCGCAAGCAAATAAGAAAAAGAGGAATAACAACAAAAGTAAAAAGTGCTAAACTACGTGCAGAGCGAGGGTTAGTGGATCAGGAGTTGAAGGCAAGAGGGAAAAGGTGAGTTTTTTAACCCTGAGGCGACGGGTGGGGGTGTTCAAGGTTCAAGGCTTTTATTGGTCATCATACGTAGCCTACATAGCTGCAGTGCAGTTATGATGACGATGAAAATCTTAGGTCACAGGCTCCTCCAACAGTGCAACACAATAAAACAGAAGAAATGGTGCAAGTAAATACAAAAAGAAAAATAGTAAAAAAGTGGAATAGTGCAATAAGAGTCTATATACTGTACAAGTGATTGAATATGATATATTAGATCAATCATTTCTAAATTGCAGCCAGATGAATGTTGTGGATGTTGTTTCAAAAGGTCAGGTGTTTAACAGTCTTATGGCCTGTGGGATGAAACAGTCCCTCCTGAAACTGTCAGGAGCTTGACAGACTGGTGACTGGAGGTGCAGCTGTTGGTGTACAGGGAGAAGAGCAGAGGGGAAAGAACGCAGCCTTGAGGGGAACCAGTGCTGATGGTCCGGGGGTTAGAGACGTGTTTCCCCAGCCTCACTTGCTGCTTCCTGTCATTTGTGAATCCTTCTGGGTGCGTTTATTTCAAATGGACTCAATGTACCCAAAGTAATGTCCCATTTCAGAATCATATATATCAATTTACTGAATTATAATCAATCATGCATTAATGTGTTCATCACATTTGGAGCTAATTTGAGTACTTTATATAGGCTACTGTTGCTTGATATCTTAACCTATAACTTTACATCGTAGTTTATGTTTATGTTATGTTCATGATGTACTATCTTATCATTTTAATATGTTAATAACTAGTAACTCATTTCGTTAAAACATTTTTACTCTTTTTGAGTATTACCAAGTATTACATTGACTTACAATGAGAAAGAGACGTCATCAAGTCATGATGTTAAAATTCTACTTAAGTAAAAGTGCAAAAATAATAGCATCAAAATAAACTCAAAGTACACAATAATACAGAGGTATTATCAGCTCAATGTATTTCAAGGATTTAAAGTAAAAGCACTCTTTATGCAGAATGGATCTTTTCACAGTATTTCTTTATTATTATCCTTATTATTTTATCCAGTTTTTATACATGTAAGAGCATTTCAGTATGGTCGTTTGTCAATGTGGAGGAAATGTAGATACTATGTAGATTAGTAGAACAGTACAGCATTATAGCATATCAGCAAATATGTGTTATTATGTTTACAAAGTAACCGTGAGTAAACAAATAAATGTAGTTTGAGTAAAAAGTACCATATTCACCACTGAAATGTAGTGGAATAGAAGTATAAAGTAGAATTGAAAGGTCCTCTTTTACACTCTTTTTCAAAAATATATTTTAGGATATATACAAATATGCCTCTGAAGTGTTTGGCTCGAAATACCAAACAGATCATTGTAGCATCCCATAATCCTCTCTGTTTCAGCACTGTTCCAAAAGTGCTGATTGTGTGTCTGTAGCTAAAATGCAAATAAGTTATCAGTCCCCACGCCCCTCTGAGAAGTGTTGGCTTTAAAAACCACAATGTTGCTCTAGGAGGAGATTCAGGTGATAAAGTGGGCAGGTGTTACCTTGGTTGGTTATTGGCTAAAGGTTGCACAAGCCTAAAATACATATTGACATCACAAAGTGGCCAATATCTGATCAGCTCATTTTCAGACAGGTTTGTATATAAATGGATCAGAACAAAAAGAGAGAGATTATTATTTTATTTTTTTTGGTGGTCCTTTCATGTTCACAGTTAAAAAATGTGAACATTAAAATACATACATGTTTTTTGGTCTGTCAAACTGCATAAGAGCTCACTGCGTTAGTGTACTTTTGACTAACTGTATTCATTCTGCTTTCCGAAAACCCACCAAACAACATGATCATTAAGATAAATAATGAAAGCAAGTCAACGATATACGTCACAATTCAAACTGGGTGAACATGTTTCTGCACCCATGCTCATTTCCTCCAATGTGTCTCACAAAGGGTAATGATACAAAAATGATTTTTATTCAAAAAGCAAGAAAGGAAAAATGAAAGTAAGAATTTTTGATGATTAAAAACAAGTTAATTGAGGAATACCTGGAATTCTGAATTATTAAAGTAATTAGTTGCAAAGATATTTACAATTAAAACTCACTCGGGTCACTTTTGACCCATGTTGTATATCAAAGGGTTTAACCAATCAGTAATCGAAATAAAAGAATTATAAAAAGAGGAAAAAATTCCGTCGCAGGCCTATAATAAGCCGATCCAATTATATCACTCGGCCAACATAGAATAACTTTAAATGTGCACTTTACGGTGTGTGTGTGTGTGTGTGTGTGTGTGTGTGTGTGTGTGTGTGTGTGTGTGTGTGTGTGTGTGTGTGTGTGTGTGTGTGTGTGTGTGTGTGTGTGTGTGTGTGTGTGTGTGTGTGTGTGTGTGTGTGTGTGTGTGTGTGTGTGTGTGTGTGTGTGTGTGTGTGTGTGTGTGTGTGTGTGTGTGTGTGTGTGTGTGTGTGTGTGTGTGTGTGTGTGTGTGTGTGTGTGTGTGTGCGTGCTCTCCTAACAGGATTTGTCAAGTTCAGGATGTTTGTTTTTAAATTTGGAGAACATCTATAGGTAACTATAACCACAGTATTGACTGGTTCTCTGCCCACTCAGGTGACGATGGTTCATTCTGCTGAGGCCATTGCTGTGCTGCAGAGGCTGACCAGGGAGCATCCTTACAGGACTGCCTGGCAGAGCAGCTTCCTTTCAGGAGCAGTTTCTGAAACCACCATGTGTGGGGTCTGCCTGCAGCCCACCCTCCTGCCGCTGTGCAACTTCACCGACCTTCGTACAGTACTTGGTTCTGCTTCAAGCCACAGAAACTGAGCTGTGAAACCAGGGTCCGTCAAATGAGTGTGAACTTTAAACAAATCCGCTTTCTCAACCCCAAGGAGGATCTGCTCTTTCAAAAGTAAGGGGACAAGGAGAAAAGGTGTCAAAATGATGTCTATGTTGCCTTAGACTTGCATTCCCTTAATATGTAGCAGAGGGAGGCTCCATTTGTGGCACAAATATGTCTAATTGTATAGAAGTCTATGTGAAAAGGATTGCTAATTTCCACTTAAGTGTTTTACCTCTCTGGTCGTAAAAAGCATTAGTTTGTAATTTTTCATCATCAATAGAATATTTTTTTTACAATGAGATTTTATTTTTGACCTCTTTTTAAATTTGAATAAATGTCCGTTCAATTTAAAGGGGACCTATCATGCAAAATTCACTTTTGTACGTCTTTTATACATGAATATGTGTCCCCGGTGTTCCAGGGAACTCACCAAGTGTCAGAAAACACAACCCTCTCTATTTTCCTCCATACCCAAATCTCTAAAAAAGGGGCTGCAACGGATCTGATAAAAACTGATCCAGATTTGAACACTGTCCTGACGTCAGGACAGTGGCGCTACGGCTATTGGGCCAACTCCACCAATCAGGAGGAGAAAGCCACGGCCATTGCCGTTCGAAAGCGCTGGAGACGCTGTAGTACATATGCCAGGCCTGTAGGTGGTGCTGTTCTGCCCTTATCTGCCCTTACAAACACAGAGCTAAAAAATGTCAAATTGAGCAAAATGAGGCATGGCTAAAATGCATGATCTGTTTGGTATTTTGCAAAAAAAAAAGTATAAATATGCCTTATATAGGTATGGTCCTACACTATATTATTCAAATATAGCATGATAGGTCCACTTTAAATTGTAGTTACATTTAAGTTGTACTTTTTTTAAGCCATACATTAATCTTGATAACATTTTACCATTAGCCCGCTGAACATGGTCCCTGGCACATGTATTACATAGGGTCTTACATCAAATAGTGAAATCCACTGTGAGCACAATGAGACGTGCATGTCTGCACACTGTGATATTTCCACGGCTCACTGTCTGTAAATATCATAGGTTTCGGATTGCATAAGAGAGTAAGCCTGCAGAGGTTAATTAAAACCGTGCACAGGGTTGGGTTAGGATTAACAGGTTGGCCTTGCCCTTGTAACTGCACAACATACTTTGAGGGCAAGGCATACAGCACCTTTCAACACAAGGCAATTCTAAGTGCTTTACAAAAATGCAAGACATTAAGAGCATTAAGAAAAACTGCAGCAGAAACATATTATAAAATGGCCAGTGGCGTTTTTATATGTACAAAAGTGGTGGGGCACAAAAAACTTAGATGTCTATATATAAGCTTCTGCAGTGACGTGCAGTGAGGTTCATGGCTGGTGAGGCACTGGCACTGACTCTTCAGGTTTACAAACATTATATTTTGACCTAAACCAAAATATAATATTATTTTCAAAAGCTTTTTTTGTCTGATGCTTCGATTAATTTTAAACAGACAGTTCAACAAAAGGATACCCAAAAAATGTAATTTTATCATTTAAATATTGAATTGTTCTCTCTTAGTAGGATCCCATTTTCAATAAAATTGCGGTCTTACCTTGACTTGAAGATGAAGTCCATTTGCCTATCCTTCTGGACAAATATTTCTATAACTTTTTTGTAAAAGTCCTCCTTATTTTCTTGTAGTT